CTGCGCCCCGCTGGCTGTGGGTGGGACCCCGGGGGCGGCTGCGGTGATGGGATTGTATCTCTTGTTCTTTGCAGAGGCTGCCCAGGATCCCCGGTACCAGATAACCCAGCCTGTGTCCCTGTCGGCGCCGGCCGGGGGCTCCGTCACCCTGCCCTGCACCTTCATCTACCCCGACGAGATCGAGCCGCTGCGGGACCTCCGGGTTTACTGGAGACGGGGGGGATTCCATGGCGAGTTTATCTACAATCACACCGAGGGGTTCACCCACTGGGATTACGGGGACCGCATTGTCCTGGTCGGGGACCCGCGGGGGAGCCAAACGGCCTCGATCCGCATCGACCGGCTGCGGGAGTCGGACACCAGCGAGTACGTCTGCCACGTCAGGGTGCAGAAGAACAACGGCGAATGGGATCAATGGCGCAGTCACCCTGGGACCCACCTCATGGTGACAGGTGCCCCATACCCTGGCTTCCCCCATGTCACCTGCTCCTATCCCCAGTTTCGCACCCTCCCGTGCCCCGGCGAATCCCTCACCCACCCGCAGCCCTGAGACCCTCTGTGCGTTCCCAGCTCTCTGAGTGCTGCACCCCGAACCCATGGCAGGAACTCAGGGGCACCCCCACCAAGATCCCTTCCCATCCCCGGCTGTGTCCTGGCCCCGTCCGCCCGGGCGTCCCCTCTTCTGGGTGGGTCCGTGGCCCCATCCCGCAGCAGCCGGGCATGTCGGTGAGTGAATGTGTGTGCCAGAATGAGTGTCAGTTGTGCATCAGTGAGTGTTCAAGGATGCACATGCATGAACATGTTTGTGTAAGTGAGAGTGTGGGAAGGTGTCAGAGCCGCAGCGTTGGTGAGTGTGCAAGGATGTGCGCATGTGAATGTGAGTGTGCAAACCTGCATGTTCCAAAATGAGCGTGTGTCTGCCTGTGCAGGGTTGCGGGTGTGAGCCTGGCTGAGGGTGTCTGGGTGTGGGAAGCACAAGCGTGTGAGCGTGTGTGTGAGCGCACGTGCGGCCCTGGCGTGGTGTCTCCAAGGGAGGGCGCTGTGTCCACGGACATGCTGCGCACGCTCGCACACCTGGGGTGTGCACTGAACATGCGAGAGCCAGAGCGTGTGTATGAGTGTGTCCCCCTGGCTGTGCACACACGTGGGCGAGGGGCCATGCCTTGACCTAACGGCCCCCTTGATCTCACTCTCCCAGCCCAAGACTCGACAACGAACGCCCCCAGCACGGTGCAGGCGACGACCCCAGCCACAGCCACGACGCAGTGGTCAGCCGGGACGGGGGCAGCCCCGGTGATTGGGGGGGTGCTGGCGGGGGCCGTCCTGCTGGCCGGGATCATCGGGCTGGCTGTGTACAGAGCCCGGAAGAGAACAGGTACCGGCACCCCTGGGGGATGGACACGCACCACCGCCCCAAGGGAGCTGCCGGGTACCCGCACAAGGCATTGTGGGAAATTCCCCGGGCGGCACAGGGATGGGAGCGGGGGGAGGAGCCAAACACTGCACCAGGCCTGTCCGGTACATGTGTGTATCCTGCTGAGCGTGTGACACGGGCAGTAAAGTGTGATCCTAACCAGAATGCACTGCTCCCGCTGCGGCATCATGGGATTCTAAGAGTGACTGTCCGTCCATCCATCCTCATCTATCTATCCCCATCCACCCCCTCTATCTATCTATCTATCTATCTATCTATCCCCATCCACCCCTCTATCTATCTATCTATCTATCTATCTATCTATCCCCATCCACCCCATCTATCTATCTATCTATCTATCTATCTATCTATCCCCATCCACCCCATCTATCTATCTATCTATCTATCTATCTATCTATCCCCATCCACCCCATCTATCTATCTATCTATCTATCTATCTATCTA